AGGCCTGTGGGAGAAATGTTGGTCTGAGAAGCAGGAGACCCTGCCTTGTAATCACCTAACACCTCAGGCAAGTTAATTCTCTGAGGTTTGGTCTTGGTGTCCTTATCTGCCAAAAACAGAGAAGTTAGAAGATTCCCAGACTCTACCTACTTCCTACAATAGGAGCCAAGGTGCATCCTCCCTCCTAGGAGCATGAGGGAAACCTCAGGGTCTGAGGGGAGGAAGATAGACTGGTGAGTGTTTCTATGAGGCAAGAGTCCTTTTCTCCTCCTACTCTTGTCCCCTAGTTTTTCAGAATGGGCCTTCTCAAGAATCCATTTTTAAGAGTTTTGGTTCAACCCTTAACAAAAATGTGCAAAATCTCACCAACCCATTAATATGATGCTTTCGATTTATTTCTGACTCTCTTTAAACCTATGTGACGGTTACTGGAATTTGCATTTAAGAAGTAGCCTCCAAGAACAAATTGCTTCTATAAATGGGACACCCTGCTCACCCTCCTCCCTTGCCCAGCTCCATCAAGCTCCATCGGTACAAAATATTACCAAACCTTCAAATGTGACTTGAAGTTGAAGGAAAACTTTGTATACAAATAGTTCCTAGTCAGGTGCAGTGGCTCACGCCTGTAATCCCAACACTTTGGGAGGCCAAGGTGGGGCAGATCACTTGAGGCCAGGAGTTCAAGACCAGCCTGGTCAACATGGTGAAACCCTGTCTCTACTAAAAATACAAAAATTAACCAGGAGTGTTGGCGCACACCTGTAATTCCAGCTACTCAGGAGGCTGAGACATGAGAACCACTTGAACCCAGGAGGCGGAGGTTGCACTGAGTCAAGATCGCGCCACTGCACTCCAGCCTGGGCAACAGAGCGAGGCGCTTTCTCAAAACAAATAGTTCCTTAGTGATATATTTCAGGACTATCACTTAGACTGCTTTAAAGGTTATCCAAAATATTATATTCCACCCCCTTCTCAATGGGTGCTGGGGAGGGCCAGATTTTCCGTCTATGGCATGTCCCAGTTGTCACAGGGGGAAGACAGGTGGGGAGGAAGGACAAGGCGGGAGCCTGTTCATTTAGGAATTCCACCACTGACCAGCTGATACTTCCTGTGACAAGTGGAATTTTTTTTTTTTTCCTGACAGGTGCTCTGGCATACAAACCAAGCATACACTAAAATCAGCTTAGGAATAATTGTTTTCTCTTAGAAAAGCAGAATACTAAGAGAAGCAGGGAACTCCACTTTCTAGCTTTAGGTGGTTGGGTTTTTTCTTCCAATAAAAGCTCAAAATAGGCTAATCAGAGAACGACCCCCTTCCTCTTGGAGAAGGTCCATTTCTCCTTTTCCTCTTCACTTTTCCGTAATGTAAAATGAACAAAAGATCCTATCTACACCTGATAGGAACAAAACAGATATGCATAGGTTAAGGAGAGTACCTCAGATTGAGACAAGAATGTCAAGTTGCTGAGTACTTAGCAAACTTATATTGAGTCTTTTGCATGGACTCAATACTATATTTTATCTAGAATTTATAGACAAAACTTATAGCACAGCAGGCCAGACAGCATGGCTAAACATGTTGTTACTTGTTCTGTCAGCATGAACTCAGATTTTTAAAGCACTGGCTAACATAGGTGACAAGTTATTATTACCTTCCCTTTTCTCCTTGCTTCTGGGGGTAAGTCTAAGAAGCTTTGGTTCACGAAAGGGATCTAAGGAACACTATGTCTCCCACATCTACCCACACTTATCCAACCTTCACCCAGTTTTTAGGAGCCGCAGTTTCTTGAGAAACTGGGTTATGAACAACCATCAATTCTGTATCACTGATTCTGGTTTCTTACATCCCCTTCAAAGAGAGAATGCTCTGGGATAGCATGGCTTCTTCCCTAATCAGTGCTAGCTCTGGAGAAGCAGAAATAGGGAGGCCAACCACACAGCCATGGGAAGGAATAAAAGGCAATGCCTGCCTGATCAGGGCTGAGCCATCTTCCCCCACTGCAAAAACTGAGGCATAATGATATTTCAGGCTCTCCCTATGTCAGGTTCCTGACATGCACCATATGTAGCTGCAAATCCCAATCAATTTCAACATTTCTTAACTGCTAGAACACCTTTCTCAACACTGTAATTTACCTTCAAAAGAATAGGGAGCAAGCACCCTCGCCTTCCCAGTACCACATTCTACTAACTGCCGCCCCCCTCCCCACCCCACTAACCTACCTACGCAAAGGAAGAAGGCAAATAACCCTCCATCGAAGCCTACGACAGACCGCCACAGTACATATGTCACTGACGAAGAACTTTTATTTCTTTTTAATGACATTAAACACAACTGCTACAAGAGAAAAAACATGATAAAGAGGAGGCACCAAACTTCAGTTTCATAATTGAAACTGACAACGCAAGTAAATCAGGGCCTGCATTAGAAACTACAGGTTATTTCAGGCTCCTTACTTATAAGTAAACAATGTAAACAGCATATTTTTACTCTGCTTTGTCAAGACCCCCATGGTGGGAATGTCATCATGGATGAAGAAAGCAGTTAAATGCACATAACACTTACTTAAAAAATAATACAGCAAGAATTCCAACTGCAATATTAGACTTAGAGGCCAACACCAAATATAAGAGATACCCAGCTTTGAAAAGAGATGAAAACTCCAGATTCTACCCACTACCATCTTTAAGGCGAACATGCCAGATAATGAGTTTTCTTTGGCTTTGTTTTTTCTTCTTAAAGAATACCATGTTAACCACTAGAGAACAGCTCTCTCCTCCCCCAGTCCAACAGATTTAATTAAGCTGCTAAAGCTTTGGAAAAACAGAATTATTTGAGCTAAGAGGAAATGTGATTGTCACATTTTCTAGTTAACCTGTCACTCATTTGATTTGGCAAAGGCAGTGCTCCTATTACACATTCAGTCTCAAAACCACATGTACCAGGAGGGTAAGAACATGAGTCTTAAGATTTTTGCCTAAGCAAAATCCTGTCCCTTCACTCCTTGGGTTTTCTGTAGGGAACTAGACAGCTGCAATGCTAGCTATTCCAACTACATTTAATTTTAACTACGCTGTGGTCCCAAAGGTGGATGTTTGGCATGTCTCACTCCACCAACCTAATTTAGGGCAGCCTGGAGAAGTGACCGATGTAGTAAATGCCAAGTAGGCTAACTAAAATAATAGATTTCGACAACTGCCTTTGAATAGAACTTCTCCTTTGCATTCTGGCCCCAGAATTTAAACCAAATGTTCAAGGAAAAGCAAATCCTTGACTGGATAAAAACAGTAAACACTTAGGGACATTCACCCAAATTTATTGTTGGCTTAAATGACCAAGCTTTCCCCAAGTCAGTTTCTAAAGTGGGGTAGGATGTTTAGAATGCGTTACTCACACAGAAAGATGAGATTAATGAAATCACAAAACTAGACAGAGGCTACAGCAACTATGAACAACCTTCACAGAGAATGAACAACAGCACAAATGCCAGACTGCAAAACTTCCCAAAATGATGTCTACAGCTATCTGTAGAGAATAACCGGCCAGGTACGGTGGCTCATGCCTGTAATCCCAGCACTTTAGGGGCCGAGGTGGGCGGATAACCTGAGGTCGGGAGTTTGAGACCAGCCTGACCAACATGGAGAAACCCCATCTCTACTAAAAAATACAAAATTAGCCGGGCATGGTGGCACATGCATGTAATCCCAGCTAAGACAGGAGAATCCCTTGAACCCAGGAGGTGGAGGTTGCGGTGAGTGGAAATCATGCCATTGCACTCCAGCCTGGGCAACAAAAGCGAAACTCCGTCTCAAAAAAAAGAAAAAAAAAAAAGAAAAAGAATAACCAACTCCTAAGATATCCATTAAGACAGATGCAGTCTGTCAACTTTGGTTAGAATACCAAACCTTAAGATCAGGTAATGCTTTTTGTGCATAGGCTTAGTCGCAACTATATTACATCCATGTTAGCATCTATGTGAAACTAGGTATCAGGGGCTTGACCAAATGAGATGGTAACATCTAGGGTCTAAAGACACCTCTTGTTAACTAATAATGGAGACAAAAGAGTGCCTTTCCACCCTCTCCCACAGAATGGAGGCTCCCTAACTAACACTCATACTTAAAGTTGGGGTTCAGCAAATGAAACTAAATACCAACTGATACCACAATAGCACTAGCCTGCCCTAGAGTCAAGACTCTGGGTGGGCAGCTCTAAAGAGAGCAAGGAGGCCATCGTGAAGAGGCATATCCATGTCTAACAGGTTACAAAAATACTGCCACTAGAATCCTAACGAGCAGAGTGGTCACTGTGGGGTAAAAAGAAAAAGGAAAATCCTTGAAGAAAGGCAAAGGAGACGACCAGTCTCAAAACCACAAGGTATTATAAGTCTTCTGTCAAAGTAAGATGTATAAGATTTGTAAACACTATTGTGCAAAATAAGTTCAATAAAGAATGAAAAAAATCCCCCCCCCCCAAAAAAAAATCAAGGCAGCTAGTACATACAGAAGGGAGAGGAGATGATTTACTATTTTAATTTGTCCTTTCAATAGGATTTTTCTCCTGCTCCATCTTACTTATAATGTCCTGGATTGCCAACTTTAAAATACTGACAGGTATTCAGAGGATTCAAATAAAAAAGTAAGAGGGGTTGTTAAAAGTAACTTATATCCATTCACAAGTCATGTAACACTGGCTCACAGCCTGGTAAAGAATCTCTTCCTTATGGGAGACTGAACAATGATTTCTTTGAGGTACCAGAAGTAGACTTTGCCTTTGCAGAGAGGTGGGTCTTTTGCTTGAGCCTGGGTGTTCTGGCTTAATGCTGGCTTTCAGGAGGCAGCTACCTTCAATTTAAATTAAAAAAACAAAAAAACTATACCAACCAAACATTTGCTTAAACACAGACACACACACACACACACACAGACACACACACACACACACACACACACACACAAAATATCAGGAGGGACTTCACACAAAAAATTCAAGTCAGCAATGGGCATTTCCAAAAGGTGACGAGTTTTTTAAATAAAAATCTGTGAAAAATAAAATTCAAAATCGGCAAAGCACAAAACAGCAAAAGAACATGAAATGCTGCTCCAAGTAGGACCCTGGATAGGGACCTTCGTTGCTGATGGCATGAGACAAATTAACTGTACGAGAAGTCTGGGAGACGCTGGAACCGATGGTGGCTTCGCATGTTCCTGTCAACCCACTGAGTCAGACTGTATCTTTGCAGATGTTTCTGTCGACGGGCGTAGTTTCTATCAAGAGAGGGAGAGTACAAACAGGAAGGCTATTTCAACTAGAATGGCTATTTGTGCACAAAAAAAAGGCCAGCACAACAATTTTAAGAAAATCTTTACTTCTGGAAATCAGATATTAATTTTATATTTCAATTCTCACAATTTTAGAAATTTTATACTATTTTATTTATATGAACACCATACCATAAGTGCTATTTCTTTCCAACTCCCAAAGCCACCTAATTCCCATAGGCAGTATGGTGATATGTGCCATATACACAATGTTCTAAGGAAAACTAATGTAGAATAATGTTTAAGTAGGGGAGGAAAAAAAAAACATTTTCTTCCTCCAGAAGAATTTAGGATAGGATCTATATTTCATTGTTTGCATCAGACCTGTACCTCCAGAAGGACCTCATTGTCTGACATAGCTCAAGGTTGCTCAGGACACGGCAGTTAAAATTAGAATAAATTCCCAGAAAGGTAAGTCATCATGTGAGTATCACATTGCAAGTTGAGACTGAAAAATTAACAGCACAGACTCAAAGTAAAGTTTCTTAGTTATGTGCTGGGCTGAGGTTCTGAGCAAGACACTCTAAGATAATTTGATCGCATTTTCAACTCTAAAAGTGCTCCTAATAACAATCTAGGAAACTTTCTGAAGATATGGATTCTAAAATTTAAAAAAAGAAAAAGAAAAAACAAATACAGATATGGATTCTTGGCCTCTCCCTCCTCCCAGACTTAATGACTTAGGATACCTGGAATCAGGATACAAACATCTTTATTTTTAGATATCTCCACAGGTGATTATGAGTAGTAGCCAGGGTTGAAAATAACTGTAACAGTACCTGACATTTATCTATCCCTATATGCAAGTACTTGCTGAATTCTTTAAATACCTCTCCTCACTTAATACTGTGACAATCCTACTAGTATTTTCATTAAGTCCTTGTATAGGTAAGGAAATTGAACCTCAGGTTAATAACTTACCCAAGGTCATACAGTAAAGTAAGTAGAAGGACCTGGATTTGAATTCACATCTGACTCCAGAATTTATCTAATAACAATTACACTATACTGCCTTTCCTTCTGAGAAATGATATAATTTTGACAACTACAGAGGGAACATGACCGTAAAGGCCCTAAAGCAAGAGGAAGAGTATTAGGAGATGAGGTTGGTGAGCACAGGCCAAAGCATATAGGCTTTTGTAGGGGTTTACGAGAATGGGAAGATGTGAGATGGGAAGCCACTGGGAAATATTGAGCAAATCTGACTGATGCTTTAAAAGAATCTCTCTCTTTGGCTGCTGAGTTGTGACCAGTGCACTGGTAAGGAGAGCATTTAGGAGACTTACAACAATCCAGCTCAAATGATGAGAAATAGGCTTTGGATATACAGCTGACCCTCCATATCCATGGGTTCTACATCCATGGATTTAACCAACCATGGGTCAAAAATAGTCAAAGAAAAAAAATGGATGCTTCCATCTGTACTGAACATGTACAGACATTTTTTCCTTGTCATTATTTCCTAAACAATACAGTATAACAACTATTTGCATAGCATTTATACTGTATTAGTTATCATAAGTAATCTAGAGATGATTTAAAGTATATGGAAAGATGTGCACAGGTTATGCAAACACTATGGCATTTTATATAAGGAATGTGAGCATCTGGGGATTTTGGTATCCAAAGAGGGTCCTGGAATACCAAGGACAACTGTATATGCAGAGCCTATGGGATTTGCTGGTAGACTGAATATGGGGTGAGAGAGAAAAGAGTAAAAGATGATTCCAAGGTTTCTGAGTATCTGAATCAAAGTAACTGAATAAATTTGTACAGCCACACTGCATCAAGAATCCAGAGAACTGTAATACTAAATTTGAGTCTTAAAAAAAAAATTCCAGAAGATTTCAGAACTAGGAAGGTCCTTTGACACCAAGTTGCAAAGCTAGTTTTAGAACTCAGGTTTCCTGAATTTCAGTCCAGTTTTTGTTTTGTTTTTTGAGACAGGGTCTTGCCCCGTTGCCCAGGCTGGAGTGCAGTGGCACAATCACTGCTCATCACAGCCTCAAGCTCCTGGGCTTCAAGCAATCCTCCTCTCTCAGGCACTCTCAGGGACTACAGACACATACCACCATGCCCGGTTAAGTTTCTGTATTTTTTGTAGTGATGGGGTCTCACACTGGCCAGGCTGGTCTCGAACTCCTGGGCTCAAGCAATCCTCCTGCCTTGGCCTCCCAAAGTGCTGGAATTACAGGCGTGAGCTACTGTGCTCAGCCTCAGTCCAGTTCTTATTCCATTATACTGCATCACTTTATTCACCCTGCCTCTTGAATTAAGCAATTCCAACCCCTACTCCCTACTATGTTTCTCCTGCAGCCAAATTTCACTCTTTTGTTTTTAGACGGAGTCTTGCTCTGCCACCCAGGCTTGAGTGCAGTGGCACCATCTTGGTTCACTGCAACCTCTGCCACTGGGATTCAAGCAATTGTCCTGCCTCAGCCTCCTAAGTAGCTGGGACTACAGACACTCGCCACCACGCCCAGCTAATTTTTGTATTTTTGGTAGATATGGGGTTTCGCCATGTTGGCCAGGCTGGTCTCAAACTCCTGACCTCAAGTGACCCACCCACCTTGGCCATCCAAAGTGCTAGGATTACAGACGTGAGCCACCGCGCCCAGCCATTCTACCCTTTTCCATCTTCTTCTAATCACCCACTCACCGCGTGGTGAGGTCCGAAGGATGCTGCCATTTTGAGTGCTGCATATGATGAACTTGATCCATCAAGGCACAAAGCTCCCCGGAGATACCTGTGATACAGAGGGATCAGTGGTTAGGAAACAGCTGAGTGAACTACTATGTCAGCCAACATCAAAGTATGTGCTTTCAGGGAAAGAGAAAAAAGGCACTGTTCTCAACAATATATACTTATGATTATCACAAGCAGTGAGCACAGAAACTATAAACCAGAATGGGGAGATTGCTCTTGGAGGGTGAAGGTGAAGCAAGAATGGCAGCCACCATTCATTCATTCAATACTTAGCTCCTACAATATACAGGGAACTTTACTTGTCCCTAGGAATATGGCAGTGAACAAGACACTGCCTCAATGAAGTTTATACAGGAGACAGATGATTCCAAAGTGGTGTGATAAATGCAGTGATAGAAATACAGACTGCTATAGAGACTGGGGGGTAGGGGTTAGGGAAAGCCCCCTCCAAGGGGAGTAACTATAGCAGGGATCTAAAGGATGTATAAAATTAGTGAGGCAAAGAGCGGTAGGAGGTTAGATGTCCAAGAGATAAGTTAATACAAAGCCCCAGAGACAAAAGACAGTAAATACATTCAAGAAACAAGAGGAGTTTAGAACAGATGGAGGTGGGCGCTCTTTGCTAACAAGAAAAATTGCTAGATGCAATTTCTCAAACACCTGGGATCCTGGCAATGTACTAGACACTTTACATATTATCTTACTTAATTCTAAAAAAAATCTTACATGGAGATAGATGTTATTAATATCATTTCAAAGATGGGAAACTATGGCTCAGGGAGGTGAACTTGCCTGAAATTCTTTTTTTTTTTTTTTTTTTTTTTTTTGAGAGAGTCTTGCTCTGTCGTCCAGGCTGGAGTGCAATGGCATGATTTCGGTTCACCGCAACCTCTGCCTCCCGGGTTCAAGTGATTCTCCTACCTCAGCCTCCTGGGTAGCTGGGACTACAGGTGCCTGCCACTATGCCCAGCTAATTTTTGTTTTAGTAGAGATGGGGTTTCACCATGTTGGCCAAGCTGGTCTCCAACTCCTGACCTCAAATGATCCACCCACCACGGCCTCCCAAAGTACTGGGATTACAGGCGTGAGCCACCATGCGCGGCCCTGAAATTCTTGATGACCCAGGATTCAACAAGCTCCTGTGTGACTCCATGTCCTTGCCACTATGCAATAATGCTAATTTTGCACTCAACCGTTGAGACTTAGGCTAAAACTCAATAGAAGCAGAAATAAAACACTAGTTAGGAAACAATTTCCCTAGATCAGTGGTTCGCAAATTTTAACATACATTATAACCAACTGGAGGTATTATAAAACAGATTGCTGGGCCTAGCCTACAGACTTTCTGATTATACATAATCAGAAAACTGCAGATCTGGGTAGGGCCTGAGAATTCGTATTTCAAGCAAATTCCCAAGTGATGCTGATGATGGTGGTCTGAGAACCACTTTTTTTTTTTTTTTTTTTTTTTTGCGGGGGTGGTGGGGGGTAGGAGATGGAGTCTCACTCTGTCACCCAGACTGGAGTGCAGTGGTGTGATCTCGGCTCACTGCAACCTCCTCCTCCCAGGTCCAAGTGATTCTCCTGCCTCAGCCTCTAAGTAGCTGGGATTACAGGAGCCTGCCACCACGCCTGGCTAATTTTTATATTTTTAGTAGAGACAGGATTTCACCATGTTGGCCAGGCTGTTCTTGAACTCCTGACCTCAAGTGATCCACTGCCTTGGCCTCCCAAAGTGCTGGGATCACAGGCGTGAGTCACTAAGTGTGGCTGAGAACCACACTTTGAAAATCAAAGCCCTAGACAGTGGAGACTTTTCAGCTAGTTTACATGTTTTTCATTACCTTATCTACTGTGCTTTCGGGAATCAAGAGCAGTCTCAGTAGGCTATAGACTCATATTTTCAAGTTCTAGTAAAAGTAATGTAACTTTTAGGATAAATATAATTTATCCGAAGCCTCAAAAAGTAAAGCTTTGTAGAAAAAGTATACTATATACTTTGGAGTTAGGCAGAGTTGAGTTAAAATTCCAATCCCTCAATTAGCTCTGTGACCCTGGGCAAATTATTTCACTTCTTCAGGGCTCACTACTCATCTATGAAAAGCAGATAATACAATTTAGCTTGAAGCTGAGTTTTAGGAATATTGTACATAAAAGACCTTGCACACTGCTATGGCACACAGCATGTGTGCAGTGAATGCTAGCTATTATGATGTTAGCGCCTCAGGCCTATGTTAGCTTGCGAAGTCTCTGCAAATCCTGTGAAATTTTAAGGAAAAACTTTTATTAAATGGATCCATCCACACACAAACTATGACATTTTATGGCACTCAAATATTTTTCTAACCATAACACTTTTTAGGAAAAATTTATAGATTTCATTAAGTTTCTCTACTGTTAAAAAAGCACGACCAAATGAAAGATAACTGACAAAATGAAAAATATGTTTGAAACATACTTGGCAAGTTTAATGTCCTTTATCTACAGTCTCTTTATTTAAAAAAAAAAAGGTCAAGGGCATGAATATACAACTCGCAAATGATCAATAAACATGACAAAAACAATGTTCAATCTCACTCATATGGAAAGAAAAGGCATTACTGTCACTCCTTGAGAAGGAAATATAAATCAGAAATGAGTTTCCTCGTGAAGGGAAGTAACTCTTGATTAGAAAATTCCTTACTTGCTGAATTTGTAAAGCTAAAATGAAAGGTCTCAATTCAAATTGCCTTTCCAATACCCCACTTTCACCTTGCTAGCACTCCACTCCCTGTGGTCACCCAAAAAGGACGTTTCAATGGGAGGCAGGGGAGGGGAGAATCAGCTTTATAAAAATTTCAAGATACATTTTCCCTACAAAAGCTTCACAAAGGAGGACTAGCAATATATAGAAATTCTGTGTCCATCAAAATGGAACCACAAGATTATCTATAGAACATGTCCTTCAGCTCACTCATCTCTAATCACCTGCATTTTAGAAAGTTAATCTGGCAATGGAAACTAAAGATAATAAATCTCCTACAAACATATCTATTCACATTAAATGATGAGAAGAATAGCCAGTTAGGCCAAAGGGGCCTAATATTCAAATATTTAACTTCTAGGAGTCAAATCCAGCAGCAGCAATTTATATAACACTATATATCAAGCCTGTTTACATAAATAAATAAAGGCACTGTCCTAAGTGCTAGTTTATATATATCAACTCATTTATTCTTTACAACAATCCTCTAAGGTATTTTCCCCATTTTACAGACAAAAGTATATAAAACTGAAAAGAAACTGAGGCACAGAAAAGTTAACTAATTTGCCCAAGGTCACATATCTAGTGACAAAGCCAGAATTCCAACAATATAAAACTATCACAGGACTGACTTTCCTTAAAAAATTTTCTGGGATCGGCCGGGCGCGGTGGCTCAAGCCTGTAATCCCAGCACTTTGGGAGGCTGAGACGGGAGGATCACGAGGTCAGGAGATCGAGACCATCCTGGCTAACACAGTGAAACCCCGTCTCTACTAAAAATACAAAAAACTAGCTGGGCGAGGTGGCGGGCGCCTGTAGTCCCAGCTACTCGGGAGGCTGAGGCAGGAGAATGGCGTAAACCCGGGAGGCAGAGCTTGCAGCGAGCTGAGATCCGGCCACTGCACTCCAGCCCCAGCGGCAGAGCGAGACTGTCTCCAAAAAAAAAAAAAAAAAAAATTCTGGGATCAACATTTCATAGTTGAGATTAGAAAGTAAAAATCATATAGCCATATGTCTAACGGCTTAATAATCAGATCTCAGCTTATGTACCAAAAAATTTTAATTTTCCTTAGCACTAGTAACTTATTGTTAGACTAGTCTAACCCTTATTATTAGTAAGACTTAATGATCTAGAGATAATGGGAGCTAACATTTATCAAGTACTTCTTACGTGCTAGGCACTTTGCTAACTGCTTTGCATGTATCCTATAATTTAATTCTAACAGTCACAGATGGTAAACTATATAACCTCCATTTTATTCACAAGTAAACTGAAGCTTATAAAAAAATACTCTTTCCCAGCACTTTGGGAGGCCAAGGCAGGCGGATGGCTTGAGCCCAGGAGTTCAAGACCAGCCTGGGCAACATGGTGAAATCCCGTCTCTACAAAAGTACCCGGGTGTGGTAGTACACACCTGTAGTCCCATCTACTCCAGGGGGCTGAGGTGGGAGGATCCACCTGAGCCCAAGAGGTGGAGGCTGCAGTGAGCCATGATCATACCACTGTACTCTAACCTGGGTGACACAGCAAGACACTGTCTCAAAAAAAAACAAAAAACAAAAAACAAAAAAACTCATCTATCATCTAGTAAATCAGAAAAGCCAGGATTCAAACCCAGGTGGGGCTAATAATCCAAAAGCCTCATTTTAGCTTATAGTTTCAACCTCATCTTCCTCCAAATTTAGAGATGCTAACAAGAATGGGAACATTTGAATTTTCTCTTCTCTTCATAGTCTCTAACAGATGGACTTTCTTGGACCAACAATCAGTACCATGGTTTTATTTTAAGTTGTGGCTAAAAGGTGGTAAAGACTGTCCTTTGTTTTGTGACTATGAATGAAATAAAGAAGGGAAAAACCCCCAATATTTCAGGAATGAAGTCAACAATTCATCTAAATCTTAATCTATAAATATGAAGGTGACTGGTTTTGGGGAAACATCCAGTTTAATAACTATTCTTAATAAGTTTAAAGTGAATCAATTTTTATATCATAATGGAGGAGGATGGATAATGCTGAGTACCTGCTATGCCAATTCTGACAGGTTTTATAGGACATAACACTTTTTACCACCCACATGACTCTAACTCAATCAAGTGTGGCACATGACCAAAGAACAGAGACTGTCTCAGCTGGCCAATGACCTAATGACCTAGAAGGCTGCCTGGTACCAGCAGGTCATTAAGTAAACCAATCAAATACTCTCCTTTGAAATGTTAATGTGAGCTTTAGTAATGAGAACAATAGAGAGAACAGCACATTCGCAGGGCTCTAAGAAGGAAAAACAGTTACTTGAG